TTTTTTTCTCAAGTGAAAGCCTTACACATACATAGCATACATACATACATGTTTTTCAAACAAAAATTTTTACATACGAACTTTCGCTCTCGCTCTCTCAGATACTTTGTCCCACCTGATCAATGACGCAATAGAACGCTCGGGCGTTTTGTTAATAATTTTTCCATCTAAGGATTCTTGGCGTTGTTCATTATTTATCTCTATGCCATTTATTTTTTTGCCTCGCACAGAAAATTATTTGTTTAATCAATTCGAAATTTAAGGTTCGAAAGAAACGATAACCAAAAACGGCAACTTAAACGACAAAAACAATGGCACAATGGCGGTTCCTTATCGATGATGACGAAAATTCGTTGGGGGTGAGATTCAGGAGCAATTTTCCGGCCCGAATTTCGAGTGGCTAATTAGAGCTAATTCCGGCATGAATGTTCTTATTTCGAATTTTAATTTGTCGATTATTTTTAGGTTTAGTGGGAAAACACACCAAATGCATTTGGTTTAGAAAGTTGACAATGCATATCATAATAACAACAATATGTGTGGCTTCGTCCATCTGACGATATGTTTTGTAAATTTCTGGAATAACTACTATCTAACGCATAAGAGATAAGAAATAACGTGTCGTTCGCGCAATCTAAACTACCAATTCACATATCTGCTTGCATAAGACGTGCTTCACGAGGATCAAATCCAAAACCTTATTGTTGTTTATTAATATTTATTCATTGTTTTCTATTTTCGAATTGGAAGGGAGATAAAAATACAGTAACAGCAGATACGTATTAGAGGATCAGAAGCCTGCCTATGGATGAAAGTAAGAATAAAGAATGAGATCCAAAGACATAATCACGAATCATATTCATATTGTGATTTTTGTTTGAATGACGTCCAATAGAAATTAAATTCAATAAAAAAAAAAAATACCATAAAACTTTGTTATTGTTCTTTTTCTAGGTTTGGATCTTGATTGCAAACAATTGAGAAAAACAAGTAACCTATCAATCTAATTGCCTAGTTATCTACCTAAACTATTAAATGTTAAAGAAATTACATCATTTCAATAATCATATTATTATTATTCTTACCATTATTGTTATACAGATGATGATAAAAAAAAATTACACACGCACACATACACACTATGTACGCGTGCGTGCACGTTAGGAAAAAATGACGACTAATGATGATAATGACACCGAGTTTATGCGCGACAGATGAAACATGTTTTTCAATCCGAATCTTTTGGTCTAAATAAAGAAATTCAAAAATAAAGTTAAATGAATTCTGTAATGAATGTCATCATAAAGCTAAATGAATTCCATAATAATTCCAAAACAAAGTAAATTAATTCCAAAACAAAGTAAATTAATGTCAAAACATTTAGTCATAATTTTTTGAATTGGCTCTTCCAAGCCTCGACTAATCTGTCCAATATGCAGAAAAAGAAGTCTACAAGTTTAATTGAGCACGTTTGTTTTTAAACAATCCAACAATCAGGTAATATCATGATAATTGCGCAGATAACTAGCCTAGTCTAGACTTTTATAGTCAAAGTAACAGAAAGAAACGTAACTCAAATTGTGCAAGAAAGCATGAATAAACATAGAAAAACAAAACAAACAAATAAAAAATTATTGGTGAAAGCGATAGTAGAAGCATAAAAGAAAAAAAATCGCCCATTTAAAAACGTCGCCAAATTTTCAAATTCACGATTTACCTTCATCATGCCAAATTGCATCCTTCATCACATCGTTATATATCATATTAATTCAAGATTAAGTCATTCATGCAAGATTAACCAATCAAAAAGTTTTGTTTTAGTATCATTGTCTCCAAAATCGCGATATCGACAAATTCTTCGATATCGGGCGAGTAAAAAAAAAATCCAACAAAGTCGAGTTTCACAAGTTTTGACAAGCTTCTGGGCGAAATATAATCACGACCATGTTTGATATTAATGCATTATAATTAACTATCTGGTAAACAATTTGCTATTGGTTGTGCCCGAAACCCATTATCCACTTTTTCTGTATCACATTCATTTTCGCTTGTTAACGTTAATAGTCGAAAATGTAATAAACATAGGAGACCAGTTTATGATCTTGTTTCTTCACTAACCAATCACCGTTAGACAATAATCGAACAGGTAAAACCGGAATTTTTCATAGTAATGACCGACGATTAGGTAATGCAAAACTAGTCTGGTTCTTTAGTTACGACTAAATCGTTATATACCGTACAGTGTACAAATCAACTACTCTTTTTTACACGATTTGACCCAGAAATCAGGGAGTAGTTTATTTTGAATTGATCAATCAAAAGCTGACAAATTTTTTTTCTTCCTACAATACGTACGTACCGTTTTGAAATTGCCAATACGTACAACGATATCATTAAATCGAAAAAACGGTCGAAATTCTTTTTCGGGAAGTTAAAGATGAATTATCATCTAGACCGAGATCAACGAAGAGATTAAGTTAAAGAACACGCATTCGATTAAATGGTAGACTATAAAAAGTATCAATCTTTAGCAAGGGCCCCACCCAGACCGATAATCCCATCAATCAGAAGACGCATTAATCGCAAAAACCAGGCAAAAGTGTTTCATCTGCTGGTAGTTGATGATTTTTTGGGTAAAGCGACGACCATATTATTTTTTTCTGTGTTTGGGCGCATACATAACAATAACAGAAGATGTATATTTATTTATTTATTCGTTTATTATTCATTTATTGTCGAATGTGCGTGCGTCCGTCAATTGTATGCGTGTGCGTCGACGAGTTATTAATATATTAATTAGTGAATATATACAATATTGATATATATATATATAAATAATAAATTAAATAGATTATTATCAATAATCAATCAAACTAAATATTATGTATATGTGTATGTGTGTATATGCCATTCATTAATTGATTAACATCAAGGTTGTGTTATTTTATTATGATTATTATCATTATTGTTATTATATATACCGTCTTTATGATGCATGAATTAAATGAAAGGAAAATGGCTTTCAAATTGCCATACAATGATAAATATGATGTATAACAAAGAATATTGCTACAAGATTTAAATATGATAACAAGCAAGCACAACGCACTAGGCTTTAATGAAATCACAAGAAAAATTTATTTTAGTCGTACGTATATTTACAATATTGATATGTAGTGATTCTAATAACCATAGTATAAAATGTAGAATAAACGTGTTTGGTGGCACCAATATTTCTAGGTCGAGAGAGAAAAAATGTAGTCAAGCATTGAATATTGTTGTGGTTGTTATTATTATTATTATTATTATTATTATTATTATTTTGTTGCAGTTTTTTTTTTGCAGTAATTAAAACGGATATAATAGAACACTATCATCACTAAGTATGCGTGTAGTATTCTTATTATATGGTAGCTGGTGGGGTTTTCTTTTCTATGTCGTATGAAGAAATTATAATGTTTAGAATATAACCAACACAGTAATTAGCTTTAACTTGCAAACGCAATAATACTAGTTATTAGTAACGGCGGCGGCGGTAATAAAAAGTAGCCGTCGTTTCTTCAGCACCAATCCATAGAGTTTACTCTTTTTCACTAATATTAATATTATTTCATTTATTAATATTATTTTTATTTTATTTTGTTATTTTATTTTTTTTTTATTAATTTCATTATTTTTTCGTCTTTGATTTTCTATTGGACATATATGATATTGTATTTGACTTTATAGGACCAAAATTTTCTATTTAATCCTATCGTCGTCATCGTTTTCTTCTTCTTCACAATTCTTTTGTCTGTTCAATTTGTCCGTCGTCGAAAAAACCCGAACCTAGCAGACAACAGAAGCAAACACCGTAATAGTGCAAGTAGAATATATATACACCCACACTCACATACTCGAACAACAACGACAACACGCTCACACACACGCACACACACACACACACACACACACACACAAACAATATAACGTCGTGTTATTGTAATTAGAAATAATAATTACATTGTGTTGTGTACACATCCTTCATCATCATCATAATCATATATTCATCCACATATTCGACGTTTTCTCCTGTGTGTTTGCTTTATTCAAGTTTCACGGTTTTTTCTTTGCTCTCTCGTAACGCGCGGACTGCCCCCAAATCTTATAATAATAAATACATATTTATTATTATTATTCTCCTTAGCTAATTAGTTGGTATCAATTGAACCGACTTCCTACATACTATTTTAACCCGAGAGACATTTTTCCCTTTTTCACGATGTCAAATTATTAGGGATTATTCTTTTTCCTATTTAAAATAATCTCTCTTCTTTTTTTAACGAAATCATCATCAGTTTTTTCTTCTGTTTCCAATAAAATAGTCGTCAAGTTTTTGTCCTCTTTTTTTTTTGGTCTTCTTCCTCAAAAAAACAAACCAACAACAACAACAACAACAACAACACTGCTGTTAATCGAGCATACATTCACATTCACAGCACCACACCACCAACATCACAAATTCAGCTCCTGATCAGAGCAAAATTCAAACCACGAAAAACGACCACGACTACTTATTCTCAACAGTGGAGAAACCCTCGTACTCATCATCTTCATCATCAACAAACCAACCACTTCGATTCAAATTTTTTTTTTCTTTTTCGTTTCATTAATCTAAATTCGTTTCTTCCATTTTCCTCCGTAATTTTTTCCTTTTTAACGATAACGACGACGACGACCAATAATCATACCGCCATCACAGTAACGACGACGCAACTATCAAAATCTCCAATTTGTTATTAATAGTTCTCGTTTCGGTAATCCCCCGCCCTCTTCTTCAAATCTAAACAAGTGCAGTCGCAAGTAATTTATACTATAAATATACAATACTGCCATTTTTAGCTAAAATTAGCCTTACAATAACAAACTCGGGTTACACTTGAGAAATAATCATAATAAATACTTGGCCGATCTTAAAAAAACGAGATTTTATAAATTTGCTTCTTTATTACATACAAAAAATGGAGTCTGTCGCTACTTCAAAGTCGTGTTTGACTGCGGTCGTCCCCGAACCAAGCACATCGCCTGTCTCGATTTTGCATAAAACTAAAGCGTTAAATAAAAATAACATGGCGTTAAATAATGACATTCTCGCTCAAACTAACAATCCTAATTCAGCAGGCACCGCTGAATGTGAACGTCGCAAATCAGTTCGATTCAGCCGATTCGAAAAAGTGTACTACACACATTCACCAATTACTTATGACCGATCTCCGATCCATCTGGGACACTTGGGACAACAGCATCAAACCCATGTTCCGATAATAGGAAATTAATCCTCACAAAACTTTCCTTCACTTATGATTATTGAATTGGACACTTTTCTTTAAATCTATGAAAAAAATTCCTTAAAAAACCGCGTCACTATCATATAAACAATATACACTCGTACATACATACAGATATCTAATATAGAATTATAGAGTTTTGGTATTTTAATATTACATATAGTAGAAGCGATCAATCAGCGTGCTTTTAAAATAAGTTATATTTCACGATACAGCTATAATATGCTCACTTTACGCTTTAATTTAATAATATAGCCTTAGCCAACTACCTGTATGATATTTTTCCTATAAATAATATACACTAACAAAAACTAATAATGTCACTTAATTCTTTTAGTAATAATGTATTATTTTCTTGTAAATATTGTTATGGACATTAAAAAAGTATTTCATCCTTATTTCCGTACGTATTTTTTTTTTTTGTTAAATATTTTTTCTCTGATTTCACTCTCGATTCGGTATTTTCGTTTGTTAATACATTTTTCTTCCTTCTAGTCTCGATTTCTTAATCGGATCGGACTTCAAAATTCCCCTTTCCAATTCTCAAAAATATATGCCCTTGTGCAAAAAGTAATCACCACCTCTATGTAAAATATAAAAAACTAGTTTGCTAAGTCAAAATTCAAAAAAAAATATAAATAAAAACTTGATACAAAAGTCTTTTGCTTCAACGAATTATCTCTTTGCCCAAAGTGAAATGACTAAAATGGATTTACTACGGCTTAACTATACATGGATAATAATTTCAGGGTTTTTCCGCTCAAATGAAAAACACGCGTTTTATGAAATTGGTTTCGAAGCGTTATTTTTTATGGCACGCATCGTGAATGCGTCTGAATTCTTATCCTTGTGCAGAGACTACTACTTCTGGAGGGTTATTTTCTATGAAACTCAATAGGAACGCTGCAATACATCAATGATATCTTATCGATTCTACTAAGGATTCGTTCAAACTCTCATACAAAAATTTGCCACATGGCGACAAGTTCATAGTGTATATTATATATATATACGTAAGCATAATGTGTATGCGCGATTTGCTGATCGACATATCAAAAGATTCTTGTTTTCACGTTTTACTGACATGTGAGAATCGTTGGTCATGCCAGTCTCCATAATTCTGCTACCATCACTTGAAAACCATTGTTCTCGAGAATTTTGTGGGCGCCATCTTAACTCGCATATATATTTACATATTTGGGACCAGTATGACGGTATTAATCGACAAAAGGGGTAGGTCATTATTTAGGTAATTTTGGAAAGTGTTAAAAGATGCTAACTAGAAATTTTTTATCAATTAGAATCTGATATGATAACGATAACATTAATCGTTAAAAGGGGTACATTTCAAATTATCGATATCTGAGTAGTCTAGATAAAACCAGGAAATCGAAGCGCCTGCCCTTAATTCAATAGAGATAATAATTCATGACTACAACAAAAGCGTTTCTAATACCATACGCCAACCCAAATATAATTAAGAATGATGAATATACCGTAATCATCATGCACAAATACAAACACCACATGCGTAGCTGCACATTGAACGATGCGGGATGATGCGATATTAAATACGAGATGTGTAAGGAAAATCATTCAAGAATCTTGACGTATTCTCAAGTTCTTTGTAAAAATGCTATAATCGGAATTCTTAAGCAGAGGATATTTCAAAAAAGGAGAATGAATAACCATAATCATAATCATAATCATAATCATAAATCTCGATTTTACGATAACAAACTAGAAAATGAGCCACACAAAGTAAGAATATTACGTAGTTTCTCGATCTCTATTTGGATTAGAAAGGAAATCTACTGACGCACCAAGATAATAACACACGTGTTGTATATTCCTCCTTCTTCGGATGCCAAGAAAACCTGTTTAATGATCAGAATGATAAGGCACAAGTTCTCTTTTAGGTAAAATGAAATACACTATGATCGATCTTTTAGTGATTTTTAATTGACAAGAGAGATTCAAATAACGATGCTGATATTCTTAATCTTGCAAGCATACATCTCACGATAAATAAAGGGAGTCTAAAAATCGTAACCAAACGTGAAGGAAATTTTTTCTTAAAAAAGTAAGCTTTTGGCTATTCATGTGTGCGCGATCACCGTTAGATTGAAAATCTGGAATGCAAGACCATGCAGAATGATGTTTTTGAGCTTCGAATGAGGTGACGGTCAGTTGATAAACGACGTTTACCGATTTTGAAGAATTTGGGCGTATTTTGATTCTTTTTGTCTTTCTTTCTTAGTTCTTTCTCAATCTAAGGGACGGAATCAATTTTTTACTTGGCGTATTCAATTGGATTTCTTAAAGAAGGATGTGTAACCTTGATTTTCGCAGTTGCACGCCATTTTGGCCATCAGTGCTGCTGTTTGATGCAAGTTTATGCAGATGATGTTTATATATATTACATAAATGTCGAAGACGATGTTGATGACAATTTGGAAATACGCGTTTTTTATCTTTAATCGCTGTTTGACGTGTAATAATTCGTGAACGAGAGAATTACTGTCGGTACTTTTCAAATTTATGTAAAGCTGATTAATCGAATTACATGTGACCTTTTTTTGACACGAAATGATGTCTGTGCACTCATTGAGATTGAACATAACACGTTAGCAAAAATAGATTATTATTAGACACAAGAATGAAAATATCGTGTTTTTTTCATAAACAAAGAAAGCAATTTAATGAATGAGCGACTGTGCATGACATTACTGTAATACTTGTGTTAGTCACGCAGTACGCACGATACGTTAAGCATCACAGCGATAGAATCATAAGAGATTGTGTGTGGTCTTTTTAAAATTATTTCATCAACGGAAATTAAAATCATCGATAAAATAACCTAAATGCACATTTTTCTGTTTATCAATATTTTGTCGGTTGTTTTAATCATCCCTGACTATCGAATTCCCATAAATGTAAGGAACAAGAATGACACCATGTAACAATAAACAAGAATGGCTGATTAGTAAAGTCAGTTGACCATGATTGATAGCAGAAACGTCAGGAGAAACGGTTTTTGTAGATGTATACATAGATTTATGATGATAGTTAGTAATCGCGATAGGTTATAGCATTTAATAATACGTAACAGTAAGTAAGTTATCGTACGTAATTAATAATTCAGGAGGATCAATTTCCCGACATACTTATTTCGACCTCAAATTAAACTTTAAATACATAAAGGTAAATTGATACACGCGGGATGAGGTCATTTTTAATTATCTTTCGAACAATAGGCAAAAATTTTTAAAAATCGAAAAAAAGTCGACGGATATAGATAAAGCATTATGACAATTTAGTTGTTTTCAGACCGAAAAAATTCTCGCTCATGTAATTACATGTAAAGAGAGCATAATATTTATGCTATTGTCCCCAATTTTTCGTTTTTCTTAATCATTTGCAAACGAATACTATGACAACAACAATATTAGTCGAATAATCAAGATCATCAATTGAATGACGAACAGAATCGAATGATGTTATTTGCACATGTGCATGTTCATGTTAGGATTATGCAAAAAACTCAAACAACAGCAAAAGACAAATGAAGAATCTTTATCATGCTGGCTATTTAGTAAGCCAGGTCGTATCTAACTAATTACGATCAAAATCGACGTGTTACCTTCTTAAAAAAAAATATGGTTTATTTGTGAATTGTGCAAAAATGAAAAATGATGATATTCCACATACAAAGTTGAAACATTCTCCAATCCCAGAAGATTTACAAGACACGTCTTGCATGATTCCTACATGACTGCTGTCAGCTTTCCTTTGCTCAAATCGCCAATAAGATTCACATAAGTTAACACTTACTATACACGTGCTGTGTCACGAATAAATGCATAACAGTATTTGGGATGCGTGCTGTAGGATTATGTGTGATTTAAGATTGAGCGAGTTCAATAAGGAATTCAATGATTTCTTTGTTTCATTTACAGAGTATTTTTCCCTTTGTCAGTGATAGATAAAATTAAAATTTGCCATAAAGAAATTGCGAAAAAAAAAACTTTATTTAAAATTGGTTCTTGGCGTTGAGGATAACAATCGATCTACCGCTACGTTAAGAGTTAAATTCTAAATAGTATTTGAAGATGCAATTTGCACATGAGATACGCCAAAATAAGCGAAAGTGCAGGCAGATCATAATGTCATGAGGTCACCAATCTTTTTTAACTTTTTTTTTCGAATTTGTTATGTAATAAGGATTTCTTCGAACTTGTTGTGTAATAAAGATAATGTATTGCAAGCTGGATCGAATTGGATTAAATATCCTTTCAATATAAAGCATTGATTGCACTCATGCATGTTGAAACTATAACAATACGTATTGAAAAATTGTTCGAAGTTTGTGTTCTTTCTTATTTGACATTTTTGGCTGCAAGATGATCATTTATTATGTCGATTACATGCAAGAGTAATATGACTGACAGGAATCTTCTTTCAGTTTGAAAAATAAGATTATTTTTAATGACAACAATACTGAGTGCGTATTGCGTATTGCGTAATTGGCAAGCCAGCTGACGCATTTGTGTTACTTTAGAACAAAGTTTTTTCTCTATTAAATTTTAAGTTTAATCAATAATTCAAGAATGCTAAAAATTAGCAACCTTTTAATAACTGCTATTTTTATTGGTTGATTAAAAAACATGCGATTTATTTATATTACGTATATGCGTTTTCCATTCATGACGCCATTATTGGCATTTGGTGTTTTTTGTAGCTCATTCCCAGCGAACGCAATAGACTTGTAGAGCTTGTAAATATACATCGAATAAGATGTTTGGACCTATTTGCAATAATTCCATGAGATATTCTCTAAATGGAGTGATTCTCTCAATGGAGCGAACGTGTTCACAATAATGATGGCTTCTAATCAAGTGTATTTGGCTTATGATCACTAAATAAATTATTGGATATTTTCACTATAGCTTTACGCAAATGAAATTAAATCTCGATGTCTAAATCAA